GGGCTGTGATGGGTGCCACTATTGTGGTGAGGAAGGACACTGGAAAAGAGACTGTCCACACAGGCAAAGATCTGATTATAAGCCTGAGATAGTGGGTCAATTCTCTGTGGATCATGAATGAAGGGAGGCGCCGCTCCCCTGGGGCCCTGAGGTTTATGAAGCTGGAATGGTACAATTTAAGTGTGATGCTCGATTTCCAGTGGTCCCCCTACAGGTAGGACAAAAGACTTTTGAATTATTAGTGGACACGGGGGCCACTCATTCGGCTATACCTAAGGGAGCGGCACCAAAGGGTGAAGTAGAAAAATGTGTGGTAGGAGTCACTGGAAAACCTGAATGACATTTCATAACTAATAATTGTATGGCTACGTTAGGGCCTATATCTGTTCAGCATTCCTTTCTGTTAATGAATGGTCCAGTGAACTTACTGGGGAGAGATTTGTTGTGTAAATTGCATGCCCAAATTTCCTGTACTCCTGAAAGTATTTCCCTTCGATTCCCGGTGGAGAAAGCTTGTTTGCTAATGCAATTAGCCGGCAGCAACTGTGAAACACTTCCCCTCGAGTCCAAAATGAAGTTCACCCTCTAGTGTGGGGAGGAAACATGATGTGGGTCTGGTAAAATCTGCCTCACCTCTAAATCCAGTGGTAAAAAGCAATATGTCACCGCCTGCTCAGAGACAATATCCCCTTAAAATCGAGGCTATACAAGGACTTGAGTCCCTTGTGCAGAATTTTAAGAACCAAGGAATTTTAGTGCCATGTGTCTCTCCTTGTAATACTCCCATTCTGGGTGTAAGGAAACCGCAGCTCGACTTAGACAGAAAACCTGTATATAGAATGGTGCAGGACTTCAGACTTATCAATCGGTATGTGATTCCAGAACATCCTGTGGTGCCAAACCCAAGTACTGTTTTGGCAACGGTGCCACCTGAAGCGGATGGTTTACGTGCATGGACTTAGTGAATGCTTTCTTCTCTGTACCAGTGGCCCCAGAAAAGCAGAACCTTTTTCCATTTACATGGGGGGTCCCTGGTACAGCAGGGAAAGGGGATAAAGGTCTGGACCCCCGGGACAACTTACTTGGACTAGAATGCCTGGAGGTTATGTGGAAGCACCGAGTGTGTTGCTAGGGTTTTAGCTGAGGATTTAAAGGATGTCCAGTTACCGGCTGCCTCTACCCTGGTGACCTATGTTGACGACATTCTGGTGGCTTCCAGGACTCGAGAGGATAACGAGCGTTACTCTGTCTATTTACTC